CCCCCCCCCCCTTTTTTTTTTTCCTCCACAGAAACAACTCCCTCCATGGCAGCTGTGAAATATGGATTATTTACCTCCAGACTGGACACGAGGCAGATCCAGCCTCAGAAGTAAATGCATATTTAGTCTTTAAGGCATATTTATCCATGTAAATACATATTTTGGTATACACATTCTTCATAACACAGTTCTGTGGACTCAGTGGAGGTTTTGGTAGCAGAACATTTGCCATTGTCTATTTCGAACACTTGCTCAGAAAATGTGCAAAAAAAGCAGCTGTCACTGGGATGGGTTTAACACTCCTGGATCTTAAAAACAGCATCGGCTCTAAAAAAAACCTATTGAAAAGTTTAAAAAAGGCTGTCTGGCTCTGAAGGATCCTGCCAAGCTACAAACCCTGGAGAAGCTGCATTTGTTCCCGAGTTGTGAGACATCCCTCAGCAGTGTCACAGCCTGGGGACACAGCCCTGAGCCACTGCCCAGGGAGGCCCTCCCAGCCCGGGGCTCCAGCCTGGAGAACAATCCTGATGGAAAAACTCGGCTGAAGCCTCTGCTGTCCCTTGGGAAAGTGGCAATGACAGATCAGGCTGGCTCAGGGTGGCTCAGAGCTCCGAGGAAGCACAGAACCAACCTTCAAACTGCTGCCCAAAGCGCACCCCACGGAGCACAGGAACCGGGATTTCTAATGGGAAATGTCATTTTTGCAGTGGTCAGAGGTGCTGGAGGGAGGAAGGGGTTGGTGCCAGCCTTGAGCTACGCCCTGCCCCTGTGGGAGAGGAGCTTTCCTCAGAGCCCACAGCACCTCTGTCCTCACCCAGGGATTTCCTATGCTCAAAAGGATGCTTCAGCATTTCCCAAAACACATTCCAGACTGGTTGGAGTGTCCCCCATCCCCAGCCACCCTCCCACCCTGCAGTCCCTGCGGTCACCCTGCTCCTGGGAGCCTGTCCCAGCTCAGTGCACGGAGCAGCAGGAGCTGGGGTGTCCCCCTGTCCCACCCAGAGCCTGCCCCTGCCCCTCACACAGCCCCAGCACGCTCCTGCCCCCACAAACACCCCTGGCACCCACACAGCTCCCGCTTCTGCTGTGCTTGGGGTGTTTCTGTCCAGCCTGGACAGGAAGGATGTCCCCCCAAGTGAAAATCAGCCGTGGGACAGGATACCCCGTCCGTGTCGCCCAGTGCCTCTCCCTGGTGCGAATGCAAACATTCAACACTTCGCTGGATATTCTTCTTTCCATATTTAATAAAGCTGCTGCTCATTCTATTCTGTTGCTGGACAGATCAGGTTCCAAATATCAGGAATCACTGGAATGCAATGTATCATTGGAATGCAGGATTGATCCAGCCACAGTATAGAACCCTCTCCCAATTTTACACACACGGGTTGGGTTATCCATATCCTTATTTTTCCCTTCATAAGACTGCACTGACACAAGACTTCCTGCAGCACCACTGTTTCTAGTGAATGGATTCTGAAATAGAGCACTTTAAAGCTGCAATACAAGAGAGATGGGGATATCAGGACTGATAAACTCATTTGAGTTGAGTTTGTACCCTTTCCTTGCAGAAAGGGTTCGCTCATGTTATTCCAGGTTTTAAAAAATGCCGCTTTTCTGAAGACAGCAACTGCTTGGCACACAGCTGTAAATAATAGGAGAAATAATACAGTCTGTCACTGAACACATGCAGAGTGACCCAGGATGTTTTATTGCCATCTCTTGGCGTGACCATCTCTGTTCCATCATCCCTTTCTCAGCAGGGACAGCAGAGGCACTGCACGTTCTGGCTGCACATTGGCCTGGGACACCTCGGGCTGAGCCCAGGAAACTCAGAGTTCTCCTTGTTGAAAAAATGGGATCTTGGGACTGCTGAGTATTCCCAGTGCTCAGCTGGGGCTGCTCACTGCCAAAACCTGTTGTGAGGAGGAAAAACGGGGGGCTGGGAGATTTGTGTCACCTACTGGAGCTCAAACACGGAACCTGGGAGTGATCACAGTGAAAGTGCTGCTGTCCCACCCAAGGCCAGGCTGGACGGGGCTTGGAGCAGCCTGGGAGAGTGGAAGTGTCCCTGTCCCTGTCCCTGTCCCTGTCCCTGTCCCTGGCCCTGGCCCTGGCCCTGGCCCTGGCCCTGGCTCTGTCCCTGGCCCTGGCCCTGGCCCTGGCCCTGGCCCTGGCCCTGGCCCTGGCAGGGGTGGGGTGGGATGGACTTTGAGGCCCCTCCAACCCAACCCAGCCTGGGGTTTGTGAGGATTTTGCTGTTCCTGCTGCCAGTAGTTGTTGGTGAGGATGGCAGGAGCTCTTGGGGCCACCAGGGGATCTGGTGCCCGAGGGCTGCTGGCCACAGCCACCCCGGAGAGTGCCACCGGTGGCAGCTCTCAGGTGGGGTGAGCTGTGAGCAGCACTCCACGGCAGCACCACCAGGGATTTCAGGATTCAGGTACACGCCAGGCTGAGCTGGTCCTTCAGCAGGTGACAGCAGTGTCCCCTCGAGCTGCACACGGTGCTGGGGAGGCTGCCAGGGCCAGCCCTGCCCGGGCACGAGGGGACTCTCCCGGGGACGTGGCCTCGCTGCCACAGGGATATGTGGAGATAGAAAATCCTGCTTGATACTCCAGGGATTTGCAGGTGTCTCATGGTTCAAAGCATCCTTTATCATTGCTAAATCAGCCAAACCAGTACAAAATTGAGTGCAAGAAAAATACCAATCCACGTCGGCTTTGCCAGTAATACAAAAGGAACAATCCTGACCTTGACAGCCAGGTGGGAATTTGGCATTAGGGGAACATTCTGACATTCCAAAGGTGCCACAGAGGAATTGGAGCTCTGTTTTCTAATGGGAAATGTCGTTTTTACAGTGGTCAGAGGTGCTGGAGGGAGGAAGGGGTTGGTGCCAGCCTTGAGCTATGCCCTGCCCCTGTGGGAGAGGAGCTTTCCTCAGAGCCCACAGCACCTCTGTCCTCACCCAGGGATTTCCTATGCTCAAAAGGATGCTTCAGCATTTCCCAAAACACATTCCAGACTGGTTGGAGAGGAAGAGGAAAGTCGTGTTTCATGAAGGCACAACCATGCTGACTTGGCAGGAAAGAGGGAAGAGAACAGAAGCAGTACTGCGCAATGCAGTTATAGTACAAGGCTCATTCTTGAAACCTGAATATCATGCTAGAAGAAAATCTAGATATGTGTAATATTTTGAGGAAATATTTTGAAGGCAATGTTATTTGATTTTTTTTTTTTTTTTTACTCAAAAAAGAACAAATGTTTTTTGTGTAAGTTTGGATAGAATGCTAGTTGAGAAGGGAACTGAATGTTTGTATTGCAGCCTTAAAGAAGCACATTTTTACTGCAATATCCTTTTTTGTTTTTTTGTAAACTACAGTCTGCGACTCAGCAGACCATGACTGAATGCTTCTGAAAACTTGTCGATTACAAACATGAAATCACAATTAATATCCTCTAAAAGTAATTTCAGAGTTCTCACGTCTTAAAAAAGGACAATGTGTACTGCTCCACAAGGTAATGCAGCTAATCAAAAAAAAGGAGTCGAATTAAAGTATTTACATAATGAGCAATTCTACAGAAGGCGATCATCCCCATGTAAGCACTGATTATATCCCACGCTGCTTTTAACAAACTCTACCAGATTGGATCCAGTCATCAGCACTTTCAGAGAATCCTTAAAAGCCTTTTATGGGTCTTTACATTTAGTGCAGAAGGATGTTCTTCAGGTAGAATATGCTGCTGAGGGAGGACAGCGTCAACACCAGGGACCAGCAGGAGAACAGCACCTCGGCGTGCCCGGTGATCCCGTACTGGGCTGTGCTGGGAGCTGCAAGACAAGGACACGGGGTCAGTGACAATTCCCACTCTCAGCCCCTCACATCCATATTTTCCATGAATTATTCTCAGCTGTCTCTCCGGGCAGCAGAAGAATTCCTGTGGACAGCAGAGGAAAGGCTGTGAGCGCAGCCCGGCCCTGCTGCCTCCCCGCCCAGGGAAGAGCCCCGCTTGCTCCAGGAGGAGGAATCGGCTTTAAGGCAAGCACTTGAAAATGGGAGTGCTTCATTTTTAACCAGCTGAGTAATTGATCCATTTTGAAGTTGCTGAGCATTAAGGTCTGCAGTGCAATCAATGAGAGGGGACTGGATTAAGCTCTGGTGGAAAACAGCTCATTTTCTGCCCGGCTCCAGAAGCAGGAGTTTGACAATTGCGCTCAGCTAAAGACACTAATGCTTATTTTGGAGAAATTGTATTTATTTGTTTACCACAAAGCCTCTCTCGGATTCCTGGGTAAACGCACACAAAGTGCAAAGAGGGGAAACACAAGAATTCAGCGTTGAGGAGCAAGGGAGGAGCTCATCCCTGGGGCAGGAACGTCCCAGCTGTGCCTCAGGCATGGACCCGGCAGGAACCTGTCCCTGACAGGACCAGGGAACTGGTTAAGCTGGATGAGTGTTGATTTAGATGGGATGAGGGGAGGGAATTGTCCCCTGGCAGGGTGGGCAGGCCCTGGGATAGAATTCCCAGAGCAGCTGGGGCTGTCCCTGGATCCCTGGCAGTGCCCAAGGCCAGGCTGGATGGGTTTGGAGCAGCCTGGGACAGTGGCAGCTGTCCCTGCCATGGCAGGGCTGGGATGGGTGGGATTTGAGGTCCTCTCCAACCCAAAGCATTCCAGGATTCTGTGAAGCCATGGGTTTGCTCCTGGGAAGCCACAGGCAGGAGCACAAGGAGCTGTTCCCTCACCCTGCACCAAATCCTGCTTGCTTTCACAGGACACGTCCTCCACAGCCCAGCCTTGTCCAGCCCAAATCCCGGAACACAAAACCCTTTGGTTTCTGTATAGAACCCCAGGGCTCCACTTTTAGCATGTGACATTTTATTTGGCACAGAGAATGTGACGCAACCCGAAATCCTCTGCTTTCCCCCCGTGCAGAAAGGTTCAGGTAATAAACCCAAAACAAAACACGATCAAACTTGGTTTTGAAGCTTGGTTTAGCGACTGATGGCTGTGACTAACTGCAGGCCAGGGCACCTGCTCTCCTCTCATTAAAAAGAGACTTTCTGTGCTAAGTCAGGATGACAAATCAACCTTTAATTTATTACAAGGGCCAGGCGAGGAAGCTGAAGCATAACACAGGTGCTATTTCATTTTATGGTACAAAAAGAGTTTCCCCAACTTAAAGATAATTTGAACTACGGTGGCTATAAAAGCGAGTGGAAAATTATGTAAATCTGATTTCCTGCATATGAACCAGCTCTGTCTTTCCAAGGCTTATTAAATCATACCTGGATTGTTTCTGCACAAAGGCAAGAGGCGAGTTAATGGGGGGAAAATGCACTGACTTGGGGAGATAATAGAAAAGAGTTACAGTTCCCAAAGCTGCCTAAGCAGGAGAATTGGACAGGAAAGAAACCTGAAGGAGAAGCTTAATTATCAATTATGATGTCACACGAGGCCCAGTGGATGACACACAGCTTAAAGTATTGGGCTAGACCCTTAAAAATTCTTAAAAATTAATAATCTCCTGCAGGCTTTTTCTCTTTCCTCCCTGGAATTTTGATCAACTTTTCCTGTGGCTCCTTGAATTCTTTGCTGGCCAAGCAAAACGCTGTTGCTGGATATTAATAAAATTCTGCAGATTTGTTTTGGGATATAAACTTTAAAAATAAACACACCTTCAAAATTTAAAGACTCTGAGCACGATCTGCTCAGTCCTTGATCTACTCTGAGGAATTGTTTTGGTAAGGACCGAGCAGCCCTTGCTTTCCTGAGCATTTGCTGCCACGTAAGGGCACTTTGTTCTTGGGCTTGGTACTTTTCAAAGCATTTTGTGATGGTTCTGTGTGTCAGACTAAGCCCTCAGTTCAGGGAAAATGAAAAGGTTTAAATGTTTGAGAGCAGCACAAACCCAGCTGCCTTTTTTTCCCCCCACTGAAATATTACCATGTCATTGTTTCACACACACACACGAGCTCCCAGTCTTAATATTTATGCAGGGAGGTAATGGTGGAGGAATGTGTGATTAGGCTTTAAATAAAAGCTGGAATTATTGGAGTCTGTGATTACACCTGCAGCCATCCTGGGCATTTCCACATCCCCCCTCCCCAGCACTACACAGAGCTGATGTTACAGAGGGTTTGGCAGAGCTTTGGGTGCCCGGAGAGGGGAAGGAGAGCTGTGTCAAGGTTGGACACAGGAATTTCTCCATGGAAAGGGCTGCCCAGGGAGGTTTGGATTCCCCAGCCCTGGGGGGATTTCAAAGCCCTGTGGATGTGGCACTTGGGGACACGGGGCAGGGTGGCCCTGGCAGTGCTGGGGATGGCTGGGCTCCATGGTCTGGGAGGGCTTTTCCAACTTGAATGGTTCCATGATTTTATGATCTGGTGCTGCAGATTCACTTCAGAGCCCTGGGAGTTATACCTTGAAGTGCCTTAAAAGAAAGTGAATTTCCACCTAGAAAAAGGTTAAAACGAGCTCCTGAACAGCCTGATGTCTGAAACATCAAATGACCCAGGATTTAGGAGACACAGGGAGTTTAAAATGTCAGCTGCTGGCCTTGGGAACTCAGGTTGGAGGGGACCTTAAACACCCCCTGAGGGAGCAGAAATCCCTGCCCAGGCCGTGCCAGGCACACCTCGGGTGCCCACGTGCCTCTGTAAACTCTCCTTTCCTCCAATGCAGGGATTATTGTGCCTAATCCTAATGTTTTACACCAGCCAGCACTTGTGGAAATATTTAAGACACCCTTAGCACAGATAGGATTATATTCAGACATCTCTCCTGGTGCTGAATAGAAAGGAACAAAGTAATATTGTATCAGTATCTCTAATTAATACAAGAGATTAGGAGAAGTGCTATGCTGGAACACACAAACCAGCATTTCCTAGCACCAAGGGCTGCATTAACCAGAAATAATTATAAGCTTTAATGCTGATGCTGTGTAGACAAAAGCACAGACCCCTCTAGGTTGTCTGAATAAGCAAGACTAATTCTGTTAAATGGATTATGCAGGGAGATGTTAATAAGCATTTCATTTAACTATATTCAGGTTAATCATTTACTAAAGGAAAGCCTTAATAAATTGGATTTTTTTGGTACAACATTTAAAATATACAGAGAAGGAAGGAATAAACTAACTCAAGGTCAAAGCAGTAAGGCAAAAAAAAAAGGATGAAAAAGGCTAGGCTGTCAAATAACATTCTTTTAAAAGAAAAGATGGGGAGATAATGGGCCTCAGAAGGCTCGGGCCAGGCCCAGGGATAACATCTCTACATTTTGTTCTGCTGGAAGCCGCTGCAGGATTTATGGCTGTGGAGGAGAAGGTCGACAGGCTGTAAAAGACTCAGGGAGCAGCAGTGGTGATGGGCAGGGAATGCCTCCAGAACCAGCTCCAGAGGGAAGAGGCAGGAGGAGAAGCAGAGGGAAGGATTGGGGAGAGCTTGACCTTGGGAGAACAAACAAAACCTCCAAGTGTTGTATGAAAAGGAATCAGCGAGGATGGATTTGTTGAGAGGTATGCAAATGCAATCATGCTGGAAATGCAGGAAATGCAGGAAATGCAGGAGCATTAAACAGAGCAGCCCTGCTGCAGGCTGGCACTGAGCACTGAGCATGGCTCTGGCCACCTGGAGAGCACCTGGGAAGTGCTGGGAACTGTGGTGCTGTGGGAAGGGGCTTGGGGCACTCCAGGGCTCTCTCCAGCCTGGGCTGCCTCTGTCCCCCCTGCATGGGGGACCTCCAGTCCTGGGTCAGTCCTGGGTCAGTCCTGGGGTCAGTCCTGGGTCAGTTCTGGGTCAGTCTTGGGGTCAGTTCTAGGTCAGTTCTGGGTCAGTTCTGGGGTCAGTTCTGGGGTCAGTCCTGGGTCAGTTCTAGGTCAGTCTTGGGGTCAGTTCTAGGTCAGTTCTGGGTCAGTCCTGGGGTCCGTTCTGGGGTCAGTTCTGTGCTCCTCAGGACAAGAAGGACATTGAGAGGCTGGAGCATGTCCAGGGCAGGGAACGGGGCTGGGAAGGGGCTGGAGAATCCCTGATGGATCTGGAAAAGGGCTGGAGAAAAGGAGGCTCAGGGAGATCATCCAGCCCAGGGTTTGGAGGTTTGGCCCAGTCCATACCCAGGGCTCAGAGGTTTGGCTCAGTCCATGCCCAGGGCTCAAAGGTTTGGCCCAGTCCATGCCCAGGGCTCAGAGGTTTGGCCCAGTCCATGCCCAGGGCTCAGAGGTTTGGCTCAGTCCATGCCCAGGGCTCAAAGGTTTGGCTCAGTCCATGCCCAGGGCTCAGAGGTTTGGCCCAGTCCATGCCCAGGGCTCAGAGGTTTGGCTCAGTCCATGTGCCTTCAGCCCCTCCCTGGGTCATGGGGCTGCTATCTGGGGCAGGATCTCGCTTTCCTATATTGTCTGTCAAGGAGAGCTCAGCACTCCTGAGACAAATCTCTCTGAAGATCCTTGAGGAAGGACACGGAATATTGCAGGAGCTGTCCGAGAGCTGACTCTGCCCAGTGGATAAGCCAGAGCTGAGGAGGATAAAGCTGCAAAGTGCCAGGTGCTTAACAGAGGGGCTTTATCATCCTCTGGGCTGGGAGTGTTGGCAGAAAGATCCAGGAGATGAGCCCCAGAAGAGTGATGGGGTTGATAAGAAGGGGTTTTATCAGGCCCTGTCCATCAGCATTCACACAGGGCTGCAGGCAGGGCAGGAACTAGGAAATGAAATGCTGATTTGTCCTTATTTCAAATTTAAATGAATAAAAAAGCACTTTATGTGTCTTAAAATGGGAAAGCAGGGACTAAAATATGATTGCTAGAACTGCAGAAGCAAAAATCAGCTGTTTGTCATGCT